CAGAAGATTAGAGGTGTTACAAGAGAGTGATAAATATAAAAAAAAGAAGGGGAGCTGCAGACGATAGATGTTTGATGGGGAAAAAGAACCAAAGCTTTGTACAAGGAAGTCACCTATGGGTAGTTGGCGGGTGCTCAGGTGTGGTTTGCTCCTTCTTTCCTATCAAACATTCTGTAAGTTGCCCTTTTCGCTTCTTCTTCTCTTTGTATGTTAAAGTTTAATGAAGCAAGCAGTGTTGAAGGCCATTAACCCACATCACATCATATAAAACACCCATTTGTTAAATAAAGTTTCCATTATGAAAAAGTACATGTTGTGCACATATCTCTTATGGGTCAAGCGTTGCGTATTTTGGTCAGTGGGCAGAGTCAAGCTGGTGGGAATTAACAATTTCCTCTGTATGTTACTTTCTTGCAACACCTCTAATCTCCGGCACCTAAGTGATCTATTTGTGCTGTAAGTGCCCAAAAAATCTCACTAAAACTAACTAAACTAGAAAAAAGGGTAGTCACCAAACAATGAAGCTAGAGAAAGAGCAGTTGTTTAAAGTTTTAAATCTAGTAGGGTTTTACGACGCTCGCAACTGCATGAGGTCATATTATGAGCACCCAGGAGTGGATGTCAAACGGGGAATCGGGCTTACTCTGCTCACCTCTCTGGCCTCAATAGCACAAAGTCTGCTTCTACTATCAAGGCACCCCGGAAATAGCAGTTCACAAGAGAGTGACAAACATACAAAAGAAGTAGAGGAAAAATGACGATAGTAAGGATGAGGCAAGAAAAGGCAGCAGTTCCCCATATGTTGTTCCTGCACAGTATGAGCATGACATTGATAAATCAACCCCTTTACAATTCTACTGTGCATAAGAACATGCTAATATTCCCCCCTCTGGGAATGGCCTAAAGACACTTCAGTCAGTAGCACCGCCCTGTGGGGGGGGGGGGGGAGCAAGGTTTGTATCATGTAAAGAAACTCTTTTGGGAATGCACGAGTTTACAAACAACTTGGTCTTACAGCTACTGATGATGTTAATATTTTTTA